CATTCTGACATACTGGGGGTCAGGGATTCAACATGAATTTTGGGGGACAATTTTAATCTCATAACAGGCAGGAACACGAGCTCTCAAGTACTGTGGTCTCTGCCTTATGTTTGATGCCTGTTTCTATAACACACGTGTTTCTATAAAGGGGAACTCAGCAACCACCAGAGAGGGCAGTTTGCTCACCACGGCAGAATCTGGGCAGACATAACACACACCTGCTCAAACACCTGATCTAACACCTGATCTACACTCTGATCACTTTGATCTTGGGACCATATTCACATTTTTAAAACAACTGTCATTTAGTAAAAATGCCATGTAGAACTTAGGTGCTTTTCAGTTTGGAAATATATATCTTTTCATTCTCTAAAAATTGACATGCAGGCTGCAAACTTTCTTTGTCCAGGGTTCAGTGGATAGCAGAGGTAAAAGCCGGATAATGACATGGCACCGCCTCCGTTTGCTGTAAGCAAACAGCCAGGTCCTTTATTACCCTTGAAACTGACACTCGTGACACAGGTTGGACTCAGAGAAGCAAGTCAAATGCCAAGTTTCTGTGGGTCAAAGTTCCTTCAAGCACAGTATGTTAATCAAAAGCTCAACCTTAGTTAATTAGGCCATCGAGTTGGGAAGAACTTTGGAACAAATGATTATTGAGTTGGACCACAGGAGTTAGCAGAGCTCAGTGTTTTGTTTCCCAGGGATAGGTTGTGGACTCATGGTCTTTCTTGGAGGGAGCAGGAACGAGACTCTTGTGGGGTTTTATTCATTCATGGTGGATTAGTAGCATAATAAAATCTCCTGTTCAGAGCCTACCTAATCGAGTGTATTTACTTAAAGACAAGCTGAATAGTTATGGAATAGTTATATATCAGAAAAGCCAGCTGTAAAGGGCTCCCAAAAGTAAAGGAACTTTTAAAATACTAACATCTCACAATGCTTGAAACCATTTTGAATGTTTGGTGATTTCCCCTAAAAGACCACAATTTATTGTGCCTCTGCAGAAAGAAATTTAAATTAATATAATCATCATAGCTGCCTTTAATTGAGTATTTTCTTTCATATGGGTCCCCAAGGGCTTCATATCTTTTCTCTTATTTATTAGCCCAATGTCCTTAACAGGTGGATTACATTAAGCCCATATTAGATGAGTAAAAGACTCAGAGAGGTTGAGTAAAATGCTCGAGATCACCCAGCTGGTAAGCAATCGACCTGTGTTTTGAGCACCTGGGCAAACCTGTGAGCTTCCCTTCCCTGTTAACATCACCTCTTTATATAGTTCCCTCTTCAGAGTAAGATTTTCATCCTTGAATGCCCTTTAGCTAATATGAACCTGAATAGCCTTGCAGAACTGGCAAGTATGCGACCTATTTTCTGCATGTATGTGGGCCAGTGGAAATTTCCTATACTGTCCAGTTATGTAGCTTTCCTTGTAATCTACACACACAGAGAAGAGTGTGATTTTAATAAAACACCGTATTTCTTCTTCTTACCCACTGCTCCTCTATTACATTTAGCAGTCATTTACTGCATACTCCTTACTAGCAGTCTCTGGGTCAGTAGTGTTATCTTTCCATTTCACAGTTCATGCAACAGAGGCATTAGAAGGATCCCTTGCATCAGGTCACCCAGCAAAGATCAGCCGTTCCTGGGCTTACCGAAGAGGTTTGGTAAGTCAGGCTGGCTCCGTTTCACCATGGCTCAAACGAACATAATGTGGGAGTGGAGAAAAGTAGGCAAACATTACATAGTGACATCCAAATGCTAACCCCCACTTTTTTTTCTTTTTCAACACATATTGTTTTGCTTCTGGGTGTTTGCTTAATTTACTAAGTCACCCTGTTCTTTATATTTATAAGCACAAATGTCCCCAGAGGACTCCCATAGCCATAGTCACAAAATCACACACACACACACACACACATATATATATATATATATATATATATATATTTTTTTTTTAATGGGAAAAAATATTTTTTTTCTGGGTTTTAGATATTTTCTTATATTAGTTTCAGGTGTACAAAACAACATACTGATTAGGCATTTATACTCCTCACCATGATAACCCCCCTCCTAGTCTACTTAACAGAGCTATATTTTAATGACTTTGCTAAAACTTTTTTTTTTTAAGATTTTTATTGGGAAATTGGGGGAAGGGGAACAGACAAGTTGCTGTCGTTTTGTTCTTCAGTCTAGTTGTGGAGGACGTTACTTCACTGGCCCAAGTTGGCACCATCATTGCGCTCTTCCTGGCTGAGGCAGATCAGTCGCCGGCTTCTGGACGGCCGCTCACTGCGGCTGCTGGCCGCTCACGCTGGCTGCTGGCTACATACGGTAGCCCATGGCAACCCACTGCCACAGGGGCTGCAGCCTACGCCGTCGCCGGTGACTCACAGCAGCCCAGCTCCAGGTTGAGCTGTTGTTCAGCATCTTAGCTGTAGAGGGCAGTGTCACTGGCCCTCATATGTGGGATCCGAACTGGGGCCCTCTGGCGTCCCAAGCCAGTTCTTAACCATCGCACCACTCGGCCGGGCCTAAAACTCTTTTTAATGCTGAGTTTTTCCTACGGTGTTTACTGCATTTCATCAACTCTAGAATTCATTCCCCCTGCTCCCTGCCTGCCCCCCCCCCAATTTAAGATGTCTGAAATTAGAATGCATCTATGGAGACTTAGATTTCATGAAATACACCATTCCCCTGATAATCCCCCAATGACCAACCTTAAGTGTTTTCTATCTCCTATTTTTCACAGAGTAGAAGTGGGGTTTTTTTGGGGTTTTTTTTAAGGTAGGAAATGAATACTTTTTTTGTTAAAAGAACACATCAATAGGAATTCTGCACTTACCAAAGAAAGAATTTAGGATTCTAATACTGAAAGAAAAACTTACTTTTTTGGTGACTTCAAATGATGCTGCTGAAACTAGTAACCCTGGGACCTCATAAGCAGTGGTGCTGGCTCTCAGATCATGGAGTACCCTCCCGGGCACCTGATTCCAGAATCAGACACTCTTATGCAAAGCCGGGCTCCCCTTCAGCGGTTAACATCATGGGACTTGCAACTGAAATACTCGGTGCTGTGCCCTCAGAACGATGTGTCAGCGTCCACTTATCTCTGAATGAGTTCAAATCCACATTCATGTTCCTTTGTGTCGGAAAATACCATCTTATAGAATGAATGCCATGAATGAGCAAGATTCCCCAAGCCACATGGGCCTGGTTTTTCTAGGCTTGAAGATAGGCAGAACTTGCATTTTCTAGGGCCTCTTGGGGATAGTACACTAATCCTTAAGTCAGTGGGGATACAGTTAATAAACATTTTCTGAGCATCTACTATGTGCTAGGCACTGAGTAATTAAGAGGTGAAGTCTGAAAGGATTGGATTCCTGCCCCTAGAAAGCTGCCATAGTAGCCAAGGCAGACATTATATAATAAAAGAGTAATGAGTGGGTTGAAGAAGTGTAAGAAGTTAAGGGAGTTTAAAATTGGAGGCACTAACCTAATCGTTAGTGGGAGGGGAGACCATCAGGGAAGGTTTCTTGGAATTTAAATGGTGTTTTAACTGAGATTACCATAAGAAGAAATGGTTGACTAGGCAGGGAGAGATTGGAGGCAGGCAGTAGTGACTATACCAATTGAGAAACAATTAGTCAAATTAGTCAAATTTCTGGAACAATCTTCAAAACCCCATACAGATTGATTTCAAACTGATGATCAGAGTTTTTATTTTTGTGGTTCAGACATAAATTCTTCCTTCTCTAATGGTGTTATTTCCCAGGGCTAGATCCCAAGTCCTGTTTTCCTGCCAGTCCTTCGAATTCTCTCCGTATCTATGTTCTTAATTTCCCTCACCTACTTCCCACAGAGGTGACCAGCTTCTAGTGAGAGATTGTTTTCGTCAACAAATGTGCTCTTTTCTTTTTCTCTACTCTCTTAGTGGCATCAGAGAAGGGTGATCATTGGCATGATTTCCCCCACCAAAAGGCCAGATTTTAAAAAAATAGATCGTTTAAATAGAATAGACAGAAGCCAGCTACATAACCCTGCTTCCGCTTTGGGATCATTATGAGATTCTCAGGCTTCAAATTTTAGTGCTCTCTGTTGACATTTTCTATCAAGAGTTTTGCTGAGCTGAGGCACTCTTACCAGTAACTAAACTGACAGATTCAGAAATTCACACACGTACCTGTACAAACACACATACACACGGAACCCCAATGCCTTCTCAGGCTTGCTGGTTTCTTAATCATGAGTGAATTTGTTGTGGTCATTTATTAAAGAGGTCTCATGAGTGTAGGGGCTGACCAGAGCTAGATAGATCTTTTTAACAGGCCTAATATATATATATATATATATAGATAGATAGATAGATAGATAGATAGATAGATAGATATTTACCTCAGTCTTAGATAAGATTGGTCTGTTTTCCCCATATAGAAGGAAAGAGAATCACTGGCTATGATTGATATAAAGAAATTTGAACTTTTAGTATGAACTTTTGGTGACCTCTTTGGCCAGTCCTTTTAAAAAATTAACATCTAGATCATTATGTGATTTTTCTCATACAACATGACGTCTGTGCTCCTCCATCAAGATAAAAACATCAGAAGTCAGATGGTGGAGATGCCTAGGAAAGGCGAAGGGGAAAAAAAGCCATGGAGTTCCTGATGGAAACTTTAAATAAAATAGTAAAACGTTTTGAGTGCTGACTCTTTCCTACTCATCATAGCCTAGATTTCCATTCCAAGTAAGCTAATTAAGAAGTGGATATTGTTTTACCTACAAGTTGAAAATGCAAGTTGCTTTTGAAAAGGAGAAAGAGATAGGCTACTTAAAACCTTGTTTCTATGGTAAAATGGTTCTTCATGTTTCTGAATTGCAGTTGCCATTTAGTGAAGTCACAGATCTCTTAGAAGCAAATGTCCCCCAAATCCCTAAAACTTACCAGAAGGTATACCTTTTAGAAAATGACCTTCCCATCTTTTTTTTCTTTCCAGGAAGGCAGACTGTAACTCAAATAGGACTTAAGGTAAGATTTTTACAGTTGCACAACTCCTATGGTCCACATGAAGGAAACTTACTGAAGAACAAACACGCAAAGGTCAAGCAAGTGAGATGAAATAGATTCTCTTTTTTATAGTCAGCCACTAATAAGGACCTGTCACAAAACGACATCAGAATGTTGAAGGCAATCCCCAAAGGCAGGTTTTTTGTTTTGTTTTTTTTAGACAAAGGTAGGTTTTAAATGTGCCTTTTCTGCTTTTCACCTGAAAGTAGAAGAGATGTTTTTCCATCACATATGACTTCTTACTATTTATTTGGTACCCCATAACTTATTACTAAAGGCCCATAATTTAATTTGACTCAAATGAATAACCCTACAAAGAACCCCCATATGAAAGATAACTGGGGCAGGTGCATAGGGATACAAAGATGATTCAGACATAATCCTTGCCCCAGAAGAATTTAAGAATAAAAGTTTAAGCATTTAGTTAGGAAGAAATACTAACAATAAAATAGGAATGAATTAGAAAAAAGTAACATCATAACTAAGTATTTAATGGTATTTAAAAAAATGCAGTAGAAGTTAATGGATCTCTTTTGTTATCTGTACCCAGATTTACCAGAGAATAAACTCATCACCTTCTTGACTGGACTTCTTGCTTTTTTCTGATCTCTGATCCAGTTCACCAAAGTGCTACTTCAGGTATGGAGCCTGCTGATGTTGAGAACTTATGCAAAAGTAACCCTGAAGTCCTTTGTATTAATAGTTTATATTGATCCATGTGTAATTACCACAGTGACATAAGCGGAAGAACTTTCCAAAAAGACTTGGTGTCAGAGTAACTGGACCCACCCCACACTTAGCCCCTTGTGGATACAGTCAACCAGTGGCTTTATAACTAGGCATTCCTGTGGCTAGGATGATCCTGAGGTTGTTTTCCGGACCCAGGTGAACACATGCTTGGAAAAACTGGTTTTCCTAGGGAATAATAGGTTTTCCCAGGGAGTTTGTGGCTAATTCCAAACTGGATGATTTCCCCTTTTCAAATTATTTCATTTGCATGGTCAAAAGTTTCATAGAGGGGCCGGCCAAGTGGCTCAGTTGGTTAAGAGCTCGCTCAAGAGAGCGAGCTCTGAGCAACAGTGGTTCGATGCCCAGCCCGAGCTGAGCTGCCGCTGAGCTGCCAACAGGTGGCAGGATGGCTCAGCTAAAAAAAAAAAAAGAAGTTTCATAGAGCTGGTGGCTCCTTTGGCAACCTGCTCCTTGATGACATGCTATTTGCAAAACAAGCTAACCCATTTTGAAAACCGAAAAAGTAGAGCCGTGGATGTGGACTGTGACTCAACCAATAACATTATGTCTGACAAGCAGACATTTGCCTACAAAAGGAAGACTGTCTTCCTAAAAGGAAGAGGTTTGTTCCCATCATGAATAAAGAAAAAGAAAGCTATGAGCATGAACAAAATGTGTGTGTCTTTTGGCAGAACAACAGCTCAGTGACGGCATCACGCTTTGTAGGGAGGTATTTGGTGCTGTGGAAAGCAAGAATACTTCAAGGTTATGAAACTGAAATCTGTGGCTAATGTCAGCATTGAACCCTTAGGCAAATTTCATGGGCAACACTCAAATGTCAGCCCTGAGGTTTCCAAGAACAAGGTCTTCCAACCAGTCATTAGACATGCATCAAAGTTATGCTAAGTTGGAGACTCATCCAAGGCCGTGCATTGGTTCAAACAGGTTCCCCTAGGTGTCGGCAATTGCTGCAACAAGGGCAGACAGAAAAAGAATGTCTGACATTCCCTTTAGCCGTACTGGTCGGTATCTGTGCTGCCAAGAAATAACAGTAACAGAACCACCACATTGCTTCCATCAAGAATGACCAAAGTTCTGTGTCTGCGCCATAAGTGAGGTTCGTTTGAAACTAAGACGAAGGTTCGCAAAATACAAGGCACCTCTTAGGGAATGAATGAAGTGGCTATTGAGAACTCCGGCTGGAGTGAAAGGGGGCTGAACACAGACCAAGCCTTTAAATCTAGGTATGTCAGGACCTACTGATTTTGTTCATCTCCGTTTGTGCAGTCAGTCACCTAGTGATTCTTAAAATCATAAAATGTTGGAGTTAGAAGGAACCCTAGAGGTGATGATGAAAATAAATAACTACTAGCTGCTAGAGAACACAAATTATGCTCTTCAAGCCCCCAGGAGTTCTCTAATACATGGTTCAGTGAAAATGACCAAGGGACGTATTGAAAATAACAGAGCCTGCACTCTGAAGCAGAAACCACGTATAGTTTAATATGCCAATTATAAAGTGTCACGGTGGGTTCTGGGTTGGCCTTCAGTTTCTCCTCAGTAAGGAACTGGCTGCACCTCTTAACAAGGATGGCTGAGAGCACCGTCGGTCACACCTGGATCCCATACTGCTCCTCCAACTGTTCTTGCTGTGGGACATTTGCTTGTGCTTCAGTTTTCAGTCATTTTGAGAACTTAAAAAAAATACCAATGCACAGACCCCACCCCCTGAGACTCTGATTTCATTGGTCTTAGGAGGAGCCCAATCATCAGTACTTTTTGAAAACTCCGTAATTGAGCCTCATGTAGGTCCCATTTGGACAACCGCTGGTTTACACTTTTGCTTATTAACTTGGTGACTGGCTACGCATTGCTTTTTTTTTTGGAGAGCATAATTTGTGTTCTCTAGCAGCTGTTTGTGTTTTTGCTTTTTTTATGGCCTGAGAGGATGGATTGGGCCCTAAAAACCTTCGGCTCCTTGGAAAACACTGTCACTGCTTGGGGCAGCATCCTACCTGAGAATGGATCCCCTGTTTCCATGTCCCGGGAACTATTATACATCTCCACATCTGCCCTACAACACTGCTTAGACTATATGGTTTAATTACTTTATACCTAAAATCTTGTAGATTGCAACAGGCTATATATGCTGTTGCTGCAGCTTGAAGATCAAGGGAACATTTTTGTCTTATGACACCCCCTGCTATGTATGTATATGTGATGTTCACTTAAAATACACATGGACATACGTATACGCATGTTTTAGTTTCGCTTTAGGTCTGGGGGGTGGGCAGAATGTCTCGAAAATATCATCTGACCCTTAATTAGGCACCAATAGGAAGAGGTTAAGAGGCTGATCTAGACCATACCTTGACCATAAAATGAGGAAACCAAGTCTGGGGGCTGAGAGGAGGCCCATTGAAATAGGCAGGGCTAGAACTCGGGTCCCTTGATGCTAATGGTCTTGCCTCTTTACCCTGCTGCCTTGCTTAAAAATTTATTTTTTAGCCTTTCCTCTTTATTCACACTACCACCTTCTTAGTCCCAGTCCTAACTTTATTCCTGAATTATTGCAATAGCCAAGAAAAGAGGAAAAGAATACCTGCAAGAAACCAATCAAAATGCCAACAGTGGTTGCGTTTGAATGGTAAAGGTCTAGTTTTCATTTTATATTTGATTTTCTGTGATTTATACATATTCTTTAATAAGTATTACTTTCCTAAAGGAAAACCAAAAACCATTAGTGGAAAATCCTTCTTCCTGGTCTCTGAATGTATACATCCACTATGCAACCCATTCTGTGGCTCCTATCAGATTTGCCTTCCTAAAACGTGTTTTTCTTTAGTTCTTATTCTTTACTTCTTAAATCTTCAGGGGTTCCTATTGCTCTTGAGAGAAGTCCAAACTCCTGGAATCCAAAGGTCTCCTTAATCTAGACCCACCCCTCTGCCTGTTCCTTTATCTCCACCACACCCACCACAACGTTCCCTGCCTGCCTGCCAGCACCCTCCCTTCACAGACTCTGGAGAACGCTTTCCAGTTCCTTTGCACATGCTGGTCTCTACATGCAGAGCCCCCCACTCTGTCCTTTCCTCTTCACCTGTGCAAATGTTACCTTGCTGGGTTCAGCTCAAGTACTTCCTCCTCCAGCTCACTTTTGTCACCTTTTATCTGTATACAGGATGGCAAATAGATTTCGTGTTATAGCTCAGGTCCAGGCAATTGAAAATATGTTTCATGGAGACTCCTGAGAGCCTGTGTGTGCCCAGAGGGACGAGTTCTGTGATCAGTACTGGTTTCTGCCATAGGCACAGGAGGGAGAAATGACCAAATGTTAACAGATTTTCCATTCAGACATATAACCATTCTTTCAGACCTGTGATGTCCAACATGGGAGCCACATGTGGCTATTTGAATTTAGATTAATTAAAATTAAATACAGTTAAAATTTCACTTCTTAGTTGCACTACCCACATTTCAAGTGCTCAATAACCACACGTGGCTACTGGCCACCATATTGAAGGGCAAAGACAGAGAATGTTTCTATCATTATAGAAACTTTTATTAGCCCTGTTTTCGCCAAATAGTTACATAACAATGTCAGAGAGAATGTATTTGTTTTGCGTGTGTGCCTTGTTTTCTCAGTGACACCAAAAGCTTTTTATGGGCAAGAACCCTCTCTTATACTTCTTTTGTATTCCTGGAGCACCTAGCCAGTGCTGGGCATGTCGGAAATACTTTATAAGTATTTGTTCAATTGAATTTTTGGTATGAATTTGGCAATGTTCTATTAAGTAGAGCAGTAAAAAGAGAGCTAATTTGGAAATGAAGAAACCAAGTTTCTAGCTCCAGCTCTTCTTCTGCCAATTAGCATGTGACTTGATATATCTCATTTAATCAGAGTAGGGCATAGTTTCCTCATGTGTAAACAGTTATAAACAAGGCTATATCAGAGGATGTTTTCCAGACTTGGAATTTTGTGATACATATAGAATGTTTACTTTTAAACAAAAATGTACACGTAAACACAAACTCAGAATAAAAACTAGCAGGTTAAAAATATTCTAGCTTATTTTAAATCTCATTTATCTAATTTCCCAAACATATGACTGTCCTTTGAGGGTTTAATTCTCTGCCAGATCTACAGCTAAATTATTCTTTGAAGAGGATCGTAGCGAAGGTGGCATGACTCCATAAGTAGAGAATGTCAGACTTGGGGAAGTGTGACGGAGCATTAGGTTGCCTTTGTCAGTGAGAAGGTGATGTAACACCTAATGTTTGACACTATATTCAACCAAACTGTGTGCAGAAGCCCCCAATTGTAACTGCCCATCTCTTGCCATTGCTCTAAGGGAGGGATCAGCAAACTAAGGCCCACTCTGCCATCTGTTTTTCTATGTTTTATATTAGTAGCTAAGAATGCTTTTTACATTTTTAAGGATTGTACCAAAAGAAAAAGAAGGAATGATATGTAGCAGAAACTGTATGGCCTGCAAAGCCTAAAATATTTACTGTTTGGCTCTACACTAATGACCAGTGACCTTCACATACAGATCCAACCACTTTTCAAGGACAATTGCTTTATGAAATGTCATCAGGGCCTGTGGCTCAAACACAGTGAAATAAAACTCCATGTCACTGTGCCTTAGAGAAGCCTGAAGACAGGGAAAGGCAGCGGCCTGGTGGGGAACAGGCTGGGCCACTTGGCTCTGTCACTTTTATATCTGAAGCAGGCAGGGCCCTTGACTCTGTTTTGATGGTGGAAAGTGAGTCCTTGGATCCAGAGTCTGTGTGTTCTGGTCTTGACTTTGGAACTTTGATGAGTCAGCATTCACAAGAATAACTTCTGGCCCCTTGAAGGTCGAGAGCTGTGAGAATCCTTGGCCTCCTGTTTATCTAAGGAGGGAGCC